GAGTATATTTTGATATATTGTATATACCTGGTGTATAACTTATTCTAATTAGGATCTCATTCTTGTGGGTGTACGTGATGTGGAGTTGGTGGTTAGTTCATATATGAAAATAGGAAAATGACTTCATTCTAATCTCCATAAGTAAGTAGTTCTACTATGTGTTAGGCAGTGGAATGTTAATTATGATGATAAATTTTCTTTCAACAAACTTGAAATTCTGATAAAAAAATATGATATAAATATAGATATACACCATGTCAGGAGTACATACAACATATATAGGAGCACATGAGGAAACTTAGCCAGCTTTTGGATTAATGGAGCATCAGCTCTGAGAGATAAATTCTAAGGAACAGTAAGAATTAGCTCAATAAGACTGTGAGAGAAACCATTGTAAGAAGAGATACCATATAAAAAGACTTGCATTCAGAGAACAAGTAGCTTAGGCTACCTGGAACCCAGAATTTGAAAGTGGGCATACATGATATGAGGATGTAGTGGTATTATGGGAAAGAAATGAAATGGCAATACCATTTAAACAGAGTGTTTCTCATGGTCCTAATACTCTTGCTAAAAAGACAAAATAATCTGAAAAATATTTAAATACCTAAAATTTATATAGACATGTAAATTAGCTTTCAAGTGACAGGCAGTGTCTAGTGGGATGCTTCTCAATCTGAGGCTGTTTTGTTAATTGTTAAGTATAGTGAAAAACATCTCTGCTGCAAAGGATCATTTATATTTCCATTCAATGACAGTATATTAAGAACTCAGGCTATGATGGGTACTAGAAAAGAAAGAGCCAAACAAAGCCTCAAGAAATGTACAGTCTATTTAGAGGATAAAGGCAAATAAACACAAAATAGCTGATGGATACTATAGATCACTTATGGTAGTAACTTCCTGTTATTATAATAAAATACACTAGACAATAAATTTATAAAGAGAAAATGTTTATTTTGACTCAGTTTTAGAGGTCCCACTCACAGACTGAAAAAAAAAAGTTTGCAATTCACTCAAGATACCACATGAGTTCTCAGGAATTAAAAATCTGTTCAAACCATTAAAAATTCATTTATATAAAATAATATGTTGATTACAAATATTACATATACTTGATTCCAAACAAAAGAGCTAAAAATTTCCAAAAAATCTATGTAACTGCATTCTCATTTTTTGAAAATTCATTATTTCAAAAAATATGTTCTCCTTCATTGTGTATGAAATAGTAAATCTTAATTAAATCTATAACCAGAAAATAAATCATACAAAAATATACAAATTCTTTATTACTATATTCCAGAAAAAAAATTATTTAAAAAGTTACCACATTCAACCAGATGTTAAGTAATAGTAACACTGTTAAATACTCTTACTTGGAATTTGAAACTAATATACTTTAAATTATACTTCAGAAACTATCATAATTAGAACATTTTAATGGAGTTAATCT